TTCCTTGGGCCCATGGTGACGTATTTAGCAGTTACAATCACAAAAAACAATGGATTGTTAATTATGAACCCGGGGGGTGATGGTCACGTGTTGGTAATGGCACACTGAGCGTGAATAGCGTGGGAGACTGGCTTTGTGTGCGTGGTGACGGGCGGACGGGTACCGGACAGTCGCTGAATCACGAGTCTAATGAAACTCGAGGCCAAATTTTGCCGAAAAAACTTGCCAAGAGTCGAATTTCACGAAAGTCGATGCTGCCGAAACTCGGGGGTCCACTGTATTTCGCTAGAACTTTGTTTTTTTCTATCGAACGAGTACAAGAAACCACCCATTTACCGATTTCAACTATCCAATAAAGTGGTCAGAATTTATCTGGCAGTTTTGCCAATTTCACACAAATTTCATAAGATGCCAATTTCCAAATAGGGTCCAGAATAAACAAGAAAGAAATTCCTGGCACTAAAATAACATTTCCTCTGTTCATTAGTCATATCCCCACGCCCCACTTACATTTCTTTTGCTTTCCACTTTGAATTTTTATTCTCGCAAAAAATAGAAGATTTACTGTTATGCAGACTACTATATTAGTGTAGAAATGGTATAAATAATACCAGTGCACTTGTGAAAGAATATTAGATTCACCAGTTGGCGTGTATTGGACGTGTGGCATGATTTGTTTACTTTTGAACTTTGGCAAAAATCGAACATTTCTGCTACTTTGAGCTCAATTTCAAGGTACTTTTCATTGTGAAACCAATCAAAACCATCTCAATGTCTGTAATATGTCTTCCATTCTATAAAATAAGACCAGGAAAACTAGAATACAACCATAAATACCATACGAAAATACAGTGCAAAGTTGCTGTTTTAAACCAAAAACACGGTCAAAGTTTTTTTTTTTTCTCTACGCACTGTGTGCTGCAGGATTTTTTTTTATACTGCGCACACTGACCACATAGACCCATTCTTTCATATGTAGGCCTACCAGCTTTCTCTTGCTAGATTTGAAGGCGCTACAATTTATGCGTACTAGTACGTCAAAAACCCTGGCGCGTAAGCCGTACTAGTACGGCCGAAACCCCGAAAGGGTTAAGCACATTTTTTAATAGGCTTCAAGCTTTCACCTTTTGTGTGTTTTATTATTAAGCTCTGTAGATGCTGCTACAATAATTTGTGCAAATGAGGCAGTGACTTTTGTGTGATAACATACAATGCCACCTCTGGTTAGCTTCAAACTTTTAATGTTGGAGTGTCTTGCATAGTGGAAGTCTGTGATCGGTATTGTAGGTTTTATTTTAATTTAGAAAAAATAAAAAAGGACCTGCTACTGTATAACATTTGGGGCTATTACTTGAAATGCCTTGTAATATTGGCTTTAAACTTTAATTAGTGGTTTATCCTTTGTAGAAGGGAACTTAATTTTTAGTGGGCTTTGTAGGCTCCAATCTGGAGGACTTAAAAGGTTGGGCTGTCAAGCAGAAATATAAAATACAGCTGCTTCTCACTTAACGATGGAGTTCTGTTCCTAAGACCACATTGGTAAACAAATTCGTCACTAAGTGAGGAGCATACTATAATAGTAGTGGGGTTGTGTCAACCATCTTTGATATTGTTTTAATGTCACCTTTGCACCATTTATACATTTCTGGTATATTTTTAAATGTTTGTACAGCAGTGTACTGTATATTGTAATAAACAGATTAGAGGAAACACTGGTCAACAACCAAAATGCTTTCGAGACCAGAGTAGCAATTTCCAACTAATTTTAGGTCACTGATAATGAATATCATGGTTAAAATTGTTTGTTAGCTCTAGTTTTCAATATACACCTATGTGTCACAACAGGTTCCAACAGGCTTGTGGCAGTGTTTCTTACTACATTCACAGTATCACTCTCCTCCATTATTGTTCCAGCAGTCATAGAAGATTGTTGTACTGTGCAAGTTTATATTTTGAGGTGAAAGGTAGGTGGTTTTCTTAGCCAAACAGGGCAGATAAACCAAATACTGCTGCTTTCCCACTACATCAGGAGAGACTGGCTATCTTGTCAATCATTGGAGTCTGGGATGAAAAACGTTCAACATCCACCTCTCCTTGAACCAAACAAAATTTTGCCACCACCACTACACACAAAACTGGGGTTCGTGAAAAACTTTGTAAAAGCTGTGGACAAATCTGGTGAGGGATTCAAGTATTTAACAGCAAAATTCCCCTCACTGAGCAATGCTAAGAGAGGGAGTCTTCAGTGGTCCTCAGATTCAAGAGCTTCTTAAAGATGGTAACTTTGAATCAGACCTTCATGAGGAGGAGAAAGCTGCTTGGGAAGCATTCAAGTTAGTGGCGAAGGGATTTCTCATAAACTGACAGGAAGGCAACCATGAAAAAATGGTGGAAAACCTCATCAAGGCTTACAGGAACATGGGATGTAACATGTCACTTAAAATCCACTTTTTGGACTCTCACATACTTTTTTTCCAGCGAACTGTTGGGCAGTTAGTGACGAACATGTGAAAGGTTTCACCAAGATATTTCAACCATGGAAAAATGGTACCAGGGCAAATGGGGCACAAGAATGCTTGCAGACAATTGTTGGAGATTGGCAAGAGATGATTCTTCAGCCCACTATGAACGTCAAGCAAAAAAGCAGAGAGTAGGTACGGATTAGAGTTTTAGACATACTGGCACATATTGTATGTTATAATAAAATAATCAAATATTACATGTCTCGTATCTTTAAACCTATAGCCAATAAGCATTTTTCAAGGTGATATTTGGATTCAGGACATGAAAATACATAAGAATTAACTAATCTCATTTAAGAAGCATACAATTTTTCAAAAATTGTTGACCATTGAAATCAGCTGTAATATACATTATTTAGGTATGCACACTCGCCAGAGAGCTCATTGTAAGTCTGAGTCGTTGGTAAACGAGTACGTCGCTACGTGTGGAGAGGCTGTACTTACATTCTGCTTTAAATCTACAATACACAATTTTTATGCAATTACCTTTACCTTTTTAGTAGATAATAAATTTTATCTCAAACCTACAACAAATTTAAAAAATTGCTGTGCTCTAGCATGTGCCATTAACATAGAATACCTAGGGAGTTTCAGTGAGATCACTCTTAGCTTCTATGATATAATAGGGAATCCGATCCCCGTATTGATTTCTCTGACGTAATAAGGAATCCAATCCCCACCTCACTTTAATACCTAATGTCCATGGTTCTCAGACTGTGTTAGTGTATGTAACTCTATGAACATTGTCATGTTTCATTTTTTCTTAAGAAAGGAGACAGAAATGAAGCCCTAAATTATAGACCAGTGTCACTGATGTGTATATTATGCAGAGTCTTGGAAAAGATTATCGGGAGGAGAGTGGCGGAGCACCTGGAGCGGAACAAGATTATAAACGACAGCCAGCATGGATTCATGGAAAGCAAATCCTGTGTCACAAAACTCCTAGAGTTTTATGACAAGGTAACTGAAGTAAGAAATGAGAGGGAGGGGTGGGTTGATTGCATTTTCTTGGACGCAAGAAGGCCTTCGACACAGTTCCTCACAAGAGATTAGTACAGAAACTAGAGGAACAGGCATGTATAACTGGAAGGGCATTGCATTGGATCAGAGAATACTTAACAGGAGGCAACAGTGAATCATGGTCCGTGATGAGGTATCACAGTGGGCACCGGTGACAAGTGGGGTCCCACAGGGGTCATTCCTGGGACCAGTGCTATTCTTGGTATATGTGAATGACATGATGGAAGGGATAGACTCAGACGTGCCCATTTGCAGATGATGTGAAGTTAATGAGGAGAATTAAATCAGATGCAGACCGGACAGGTCTACAAAGAGACCTGGACAGGCTGGATGCGTGGTCCAGAAACTGGCTCCTAGAATTTAACCCCACCAAATGCAAAGTCATGAAGATTGGAGGAAGGCAAAGAAGACCGCAGACAGAGTATAGGCTAGGAGGCCAAAGGCTGCAAACTTCACTCAAAGAGAAAGACCTAGGAGTGAGTATAATACCAAGTACATTGCCAGAAGCACACATTAACCAGATAACTGCTGCAGCATATGGGCGCTTGGCAAACCTGAGAATAGCGTTCCGGTACCTCTGTAAGGAATTGTTAAAGACTGTATACACTGTGTACATCAGGCCCACACTGGAGTACGCAGCACCAGTTTGGAACCCACACCTGGTCAAACACGTCAAGAAATTAGAGAAAGTGCAAAGGTTTGCAACAAGGCTAGTTCCAGAGCTAAGGGAATGTCCTATGAAGAAAGGTTAAGGGAAATCGGTGTGACGACACAGGAGGGTCAGGGGAGACATGATAATGACATACAAAATACTGCGTGGAATAGACAAAGTGGACAGAGACAGGATGTTCCAGAGATGGGATACAGAAACAAGGGGTCACAATTGGAAGCTGAAGACTCAGATGAGTCAAAGGGATGTTGGGAAGTATTTCTTCAGTCGTAGAGTAGTTAGGAAGTGGAATAGTCTGGCAAGCGATGTAGTGGAGGCAGGAACTATACATAGTTTTAAGATGAGTTATGATAAAGCTCATGGAGCAGGGAGAGGGAGGACCTAGTAGCGGTCAGTGAAGAGGCAGGGCCAGGAGCTGAGTCTCGACCCTGCAACCACAATTAGGTGAATACAGTTAGGTGAGTGCACACACACACACACACACACACACACACACACACATATAGTGAGAGAGAGTGAATTTAAAGTGTAACACGCAAATTACAAAATGAAAAGTGAAAGAAGTTAATCCAGCCAGTGGTTGTCTGATTGTTAGTGTGCTTGATGAGTCTCCTTTTCCTGTTTGTGATTCAGAATTGTCTTGTTATTTATATTTCATTTTGTGGCATTGTGGTACAGTATGTTATAAATGGGTAATTTGTATTGATATACAACATTCCAACCTAACCTAATCTAAACATAAATCAAGAAATTTACTGAAAATTGTATCAGGTGTTACTTGACTTAAGATGGCGTTTCGTTCTGATGAACCCATTGTAAGTTGAAAATATCATGAGTTGAATATGAATATGATTGCACCTTGATCTATTGGTTGGATGAGTGCGGTTGTGTTTGGCAGCAAAAACACAACCTTTACATCAGGATGCAGGTTGCTGAAATGCTGTAGTTGTCCTGGAGCTTTATCTGAAATAAGGAGAATCTTGAGGGTATATTGGGAATAAAACAGTTCAAAAACCTGTCTTTAAACAATGCTAATGTCATCAAGGTTAATTATTATGGCTATAATTGACAAGAAGCGTTTTCTTGCTCACATTCTTGAATGTTCCGGGGTTCTTGGAGTGGTAGATTAGGAAAGGCTTCCATTTAAAATCTGCAACATTTCCACCCAGAAGCAGCATTGTAAAATCAAGATATTGTAAAGCAAGGAGCATCTGTATTTTCAATATTATCACTAATTACTGTATTTTCTGGCATACAAATCATTTTTTTTTTCCCAAAAAAGTCTCAAAATCACCCTGCACCTTACATTTTGAGATCATTAACAAGACTAGACTTTGGTTTACTAGCAAGTGGTGGTTTCAGTGCTGAGGTACTGGTAAACTAATATCCAGAATTCCCCCTGTATTCCTTACAAAACTTTTCCCTCATTACTTTAGAGTGATTAGTAACTGCTAGAAATTATAATTGCACATTACTGGTATGTAATAAGCAAATGAGCTTCAGCATTTGTAAATAGTTGTAAAGTAGCCATTTACGTGTATATACAATTGGTAGTCGTGCTTGCTTTGGTGGTTGGTGGCGGTAGAGCAGACAACAGGCTGTGCAAGGTCCCACCTCCTTCAGTTATGCTGTGCACGTAAGCAGTCAGTCACTGGCTCACTATCCTTAAGAAACAAGTTTTGTATTTCTTTTATTTTCCAAGAATTTGCCTGCCAAAATTAGTATTTGCCTTATACTGTATACCAGAAAATATGGTATATTCATTACCATGTATCAGAATGTGAATCAAGTACTGCATAATATTAGGAGTATAAGTAGAATAACTGGGCATTAAATGAAATCTTGATTACCAACTTTGAATAACGTCGTGTACGATTCTATAAGAATTAACATACTAAACAATAAGTCGGCTACTAAAAATAAAGAAAGAAACCTTCCAGCTTTATTCCTGAAATCGAAATATAATAGTTATTTATCGAAATATAATATCTGAAGAGCCTTTATTAAGATGTTCAGCTATATTAAATGTTGAGTGCTTGTCTTTTGTTCTGTAAGTATTGAGTCTTCACATGCGATATTTTATCAAAATAGATATCCTTTATCTGAAACCATTTTAGGAAACAAAGGATATATGAAGGGAATATGGTGAAGTGCAGGAAGCACTTCACCATATTCCCACAAGCACTGCAGTAGGCCTACTGACCCATGCTGCTTGTAGTAGTGGTATAAGTGAGTTTGTGTCTGGTGACCTCAGGGTTTAGCATTTTACAGAGGATTTCTACTAATATTTCAGAGATGGTTATGGTTAAGCTGCCTTTATTTTGTGTAATTGAAGTGGATGTAAATAATGCCTGAAGGCATTTTCATCTACAGCTATGTGATTCCCTCATCACTAAGTGGGTGCTGCTTCATTTCAAGTGGTTGGTGGTGCTATGGTGTTGTACACATGATGTTCAAGTTTTAACACCTGCATGCAAGGATAGGTTAATTTAGAAGCTTTGAGAGGTTTTGTGTTTCGCTGACTTGCCTAGGAATACATCTAAATGAAAATTGACACAGGCACATAGACTAAATACTGCAACCAGCAGTTATCAAAATTATTTCCAGACTGTTTGTAGAAGTCTTTCAGAAGAGACTGGATAACTGCCTCCTAACAAGTCCCTGATATATACAGTAGGTTCCCACTTATACAGCAGGTTAGGTTCCAGGCTACTGTCGTAAAGCAGAAATTGCTTTAAAGTGGAACACCCCTTTTTTTTCCACTTACAAATGCATATAAATGCTAGATAACAGGTTTACACTAACATATATTAAGTTAGCAATAGAACTAGGCATTAAAAAGAAAATAAAAGTAAAATACCTGAGGATAAATGGACATGAGTGCATTGTTTAAGACATCTAATAAAGATGTTTCTGATGGACTTCAGTCTTCAAGGACAAAAATGTCTGATAAAGGTGCCATAAGTGAATACTTTCATGTCCATTTCATCAAGTTGTCAACAATTATTTGCCTTGCTACAGAAAGGGGTATATTAAAAAATGAGTGTTACTGTTTTGTTATGGACAATTCAAGAATTATTGCTTTCATGCCACCCAAAAATAACATCAGCCTCTACCACCATTCCTTGGCTGTGAGCTGTATTATTTTTACACTTCATGATTCAAAATCCATCATTCACTTACCATTTTGTAATGATTCATTAAAATTTCTTGGATTATTTTTAAATGAAAAATGTAAATTAAAAATTTATGTAATGTTAACTCAGTTAGCATTGAAAAGCTGGTAGCTATTCATGGTATCCTTGAGATTTTAAGTTTGTTGGCATTAAACATTGAGATCCTGGTTCAACATCAGGAAATTTTGTTTTAGTGTGTGTTTATTTCTTGGATAACGTTATTAAGCTGTGTGAATAATGCAATTAAACCAAAGACAACTATATTCATTTTAATTTTGGCTTTAAAAGTTTTTTAATATTCACTTCCTTCTTCGCCCTTGTATTGTAGCATATTTTGCCAAAGTACTGTATATTCTTATGTTAGGTAATTATATTGCACAATAAATTTGTTGCCATGGTATATCATGAATATATGTATGAATCCTTCAAACATTTTAATAATGCAGTATAAGTTATAAGTATTAATTTTTGTACCGAAGCATAAAATCAAAATATTTTTATTAGCATTATAGTTAATGGCATACCTAGTAAATGGATGCATCAAGTTATAAGTGCCAGGTATTTGCAGAAAGTGTCTGGTCCTACATCACCTCAAAGAAAAATACACAAACTGGCAGAGAGAATGCTTTTCAGTCTCTCTTGATATTGAATTCATATTGTGCTAAGAATTCTTAAAACAGGTTTTGGTTGAGTGGAAGCATTTAAATGGTAACTTTAAAAATCTTAGAAGACTTGGCTGGCAAATGCAGCCACATGACTGATGAAGAACTTAGACTAACCACTTAAGGTTACTAGACGAACATAGAAGTTGAAAGTTGAGACAGGAGAGGAAAGCCAGGCAGGATATGCACTTAAATGAGCATTACTCATACCTATGGCTCTATAGACTTTGGAGTCCATAACTAGATGCTTTTCTCGAGAAAGATAAAGCTGATTTTGCGACCATCTATAGCAGCCTTTTTGTTTTCCCCGTAGGTGGCGGACTTGGAGAGGAAGTACAAGTGCGAGTGGTGCGGGAAGGGCTTTAGACTCTCCGTCCATCTGAAGGATCATGTAAGGACCCACACAGGGGAGAAGCCCTATCAATGCCCTATTTGTCAGAAGGATTTCACTCAACGGTCTAATCTAAGGACTCACCTCAACAAGATTCACAAAGAACAGCTGGCATATGTAAAGAACAGAAAAGGCAGAGTGCCTAAGTATCCTGTGAAACACGAATTCTTACCCAGTTTAGTATCTCCCAGTGGTGGCAGCAGTCTTCCCCATGCCTCTGTTGCAGAAATGAAAAAACTAGTATTTGCTCCTGGTGATCCAAAACCCATCCTCCCCAAGCCTCTTGGTACTGAGCCTTCTGTAATGCCTTTCCTCTCCAAAGAAACTGTTAGTTTTTTACAAAGGGATGATTTAACTGTTCTTTATAAGGACAAAGCAGCAAGTTTAGAACCTGAGCGAGTAACATTACCCCAGTTGATATTGCAACACCCACATCATGATGATAATTTTTTTTCTGGAGAGTCTCAAATGTTTTCTGTTGATTCAAATGCTATTGATTTAGATGTCAGTGCATCAGTAAGGAAAGAGCCTGTTGCACAACCATTGCTAACTAAAGACACTGCACTTAAATCTCCTCAAAAAGAGACACTTTTGAAAGCATTACTACTAAAGGGCTCCTCAATGGGGCCAGCTTCACAAAGTGATGTTATGGGAGCTATGAGACAGGTGATCCCATCTTTAGCTTCTCCTCTTACACAGTCATCATTAGCTGCCAGTCAAGTGCCCTATTCTATCCCCACTTCAGTTGCAGTGTCTCTAGCCTCTCCTGTTTGTAGTCCTCCAGAAGAAATGCTTCAACCTATAATTGTTATGGATTCTCCAAAGAGCTTATCTCAGTTTTGCGGTGTCCACGTGATGTAGCTGTTTCTCGTGCCGATCTTCTCTCTCCTGGGAGCAAAGGTGAATCATTTGTTGTTATAGAAGCTTCTGGAGTAGCACCTCAGGAGAATGTTTCAGTGACAACAACTGATTCTCAGGATCAACCACAGATAACTGATGAAATGAAAATTTTACTGCAAGCAGTTCAGATCAGAGTTTCTCAGGATCAAGGACAAACAAACACACAGAGCAGTCCATCTGTTACAGTGAGATCAAGCAACCCTGCCTCAATGATCACAACTCCATCTGGTCCAGTTGTGAGTCATACCCTTGCTGTACCAACTCCGTCTGGCCCTCCGTTAGCATCAGATACTGCTCTTCGACAGCGTATTTCTAGAATGTTGCATGATAAAGATCCAACTAAGAGGAAAATGCCGGGTCAGTCATCAGTAAAAATGGACCATTGTTTAGATCAGCAGTCCAAGCAAGGTCTCATTAAGGAGCAAGAGTCAACTTCGGCACAGAATAAAACAATATTAGATAAAGGAAGAGCTCTGCCACTCCTACGGCATTTACCTGCATCACATGTACCCACTTCTCATCCTTCTATTCTTTCTACACAGCCACATTCTTCTTCACCTCCAGCCCATCCTCCGCTTTCCCCTACCCCAATATCGCCAACTCTTGCTCATCCCATGCCCACTTCGTCCATTATTCCTCCTGTCCCCATTTCTACTCCATCTCCAGTAGACAGACGGCGCCCTAGTTTTCACATACCTCTACCCTCGAACAGATCAAGCTATAAACACAGTGACAGACCTGGTGACAAAGTAAACCTTGCCTCAAAGGGAAGTCTAAGAGAAAATGAATCAGTGCCTGACCTTAAGTAAGTAGTCAGGAAAATATGGTGATAGTTTGATAATTAATTTACTCTTGTGCAAATTCAAGTGATACATTTGAAGTCCTATTAATGTCTTATAAGGCAATGCAGATCATTTTGGTTCTTGTGCCTTTCTTTATCTCACTTTGTTATATAATGTAACAAAAACACTAGCGTTATAATTTGTTCGGTAATCTGCTTCTTTTGGCTCTGAGTGCATGTGTGTAAAGGGTATGCACTGGTGGAGTGTGAACTTGAGCATGCATATGTATGGGGGGGGGTTGTGTGTGT